CCCCTGCATCGGCAGGCGGACTCCCAACCACTGCGCCACCAGGGAAGCCCTTGCTTCTTTTTTGAATATGTTTTGGTCTTTTGGTCACGAGGCATGTGGGATCTTAGCTCCCCGACCAGGGATCGAACCCGCACCCCCCTGAACTGGAAGGTGAAGTGGTAACCACTGGACCACCAAGGAAGTCCCCCCCATCCTCTTTCTCCGGCCGCCCTCGTCCTGCTGCTGCCCTCACTCCCTGCCACTTTCTTCCTGCCAGGATGTCGCCTCTCTGGCCGGCCTGACTTGAGTGGTGAAAAGCCGGGTACCACTTGCAGTGGGTTCCACAGCATCTGTCCACAATTCACACCCACCCGGAACCTCAGAATGCGACCTTCTTTGGAGATAGTGTCTTAACAGATGTATTAGTTAAGGATCTCGAGAGGAGATCATCCTGGATTTACAATGGGCCTTAAACCCAATCTCCAGTCTCCTGTAAGAAGAGGACAGAGCACAGAAACACAAGGCCTGGGAAGAGAGGGGAGGGCTTGGAGTGACGCGTTGACAAGCCAAGGAACGCCAAGGACTGCCGGAATCCACCAGAAGCTGCAAGATGCACGGGCAGATTCTCCCTCTGAGACTCTACACGGCAGCAAGGCTGTTGATACCTTGATTTCAGACTTCTGGCCTCCAGACTTTGAGAGAGTAACTTTCTGACGTTTTAGGCCACCAAGTCTGTGGTGATATATCGAGCGGCCCTAGAAATGGGTCAAAACTGGAAAGTAAGTTCTACCCTTAGCCCCTAAGCACAGCCTGGCAGGGCTTCTTTCCTTCCCATTCCTCCTGGACACAAAAAGGCTCACAACCCCCCACCCCACCCCCATGTGCTGCATTATCTGGTGACACGAAATGGAGGACATTCCACATGCCTCTCGAGTTACCCCCAGCACACAGGAGGTCTGGAGATCTGAACAGGCCCCATGCTTTCCTCCCAGGGAGCACAGGAGCCCAGGACTGGGCTTTGGCCTGATTTGCTTTAGTCCCAGGGGACATTCCCAGGAAGTCAGGTGCTTGTCAAAACTCTCACCATCTGCTGGACAGAGATGGTGGGTCTAACTTTAGAGACTTCGATCGAGGGGGAGGTCACAGAGCAACGTCAGGAATTCAAATGTGGACAGTGTCCCACTTACTGGACTGCAGGCTGAAGCTGAGCTTGGCCCTCGGTGTGACCGGAGGAGGCGTGTGCTGGGAGGACGGTGAGGACGGTGACACCGAAAAGCGCCTTTCACTACCCATGACGCTGATCACCTGGCTCTTCGGTCTCTGGGGCCGCAGGGGGCTTATCTACATCAGAGGGATGGAAAGAGCATAGTTAGTATCTGTCATGGGCTGAGTTGTCTCACTGCAAAAATCCCTACGTTGAAGTCCTAATCCCTCAGTACCTGCGAATATGACCTTATCTGGAAATAGGGTCTCTGCAGAGGGTCAAGTTAAGCTGAGGTCGTTACAGTGGCTCCTAATCCAATACGACTGGTGTCCTTATAAAAGGGGGAAATTTGGACCCTGACGCATGCACACAGGGACAGCGCCATGTGAACATGAAGGCAGAGGTCAGGGTGATGCTTGTACAAGCCAAGTGAGGCCAAAGACTGCGGGTCGACTGCCAGACGCTGGGGAAGAGGCCAGGAACAGATGCCCCTCACAGCCTCAGAGGTAACCAGCCCAGCTGACACCTTGATCTTGGACGTCCAGCCTCCAGACCATGAGACAATCAATCTCTGTCGTTTCAGCTGCCCAGCCTGTGGTACTTTGTTACGGCAGCCCTGGCAAACTGATACAGGTTTCACAATAATCTCCTTACCCACTCTGGGGTTGATGTCACATCACATGTTTCCTGGACATAAGTGTAATGTGGGCCATTCAGTGGGGGTGAGAGCACACAAGGAAAGCTCCAAAGGGTCACGAGTGGACTCAACGACCTGCTCAGTGACCAGAACGCCTCAGGCGCCTAATTTCTTGGTCTTTCTTGGCAAGTACGTGAAAATCTAGAAACTTGCTGAGGGATTTCCTTTATTCATCTCCTGTTTCTTCTCTCATGCTACGCTATTACTGAGTAGGAATTCTTTCCACTTTTCATTGCATTTTTCCTCCCCATCTCCGACTTTCGGATGCACTTGACTTTTCCCACCTAAGCCTTTTCCTGCATCTGTAACATCGGGGTATTTTATTTATCTATTTCTTACAACCTGGTCTCAGATCATTAGGCCTGGGGGAACACAAGCGGTTCAAAATACTCCCGAGGTAGGAGTCATTAGCAAAGTTATTAACCCAGCTGAGAAGGAGGAATCAAGATTTCTGCTCCGGGACAGGCAGGGCGGGAGGGCAGGGCTCTGGGCCTGGTTCCGGGGGCTTCATTCCTGGGCCGGCTGGTGAGGGTCAGCTGCAGAGCCGGTGGGCAGCAGCATGTGCCTCTAGGTGGTCTGCAAAGGCAGGGCCTCCCTGGAGGCTACTGAGGCTGGAAGGAGGGGAGGAAGGCTTAAGCCCTTTGGTAAACGGGGGACTGAGGGGTCACTGGCCAACAGGCCGACCTCCAGAACCATCCTATGCCAATGAAGGAGATACCGGAGACCAGGTGTCATCCCTCATCTGCAGAAACCGATGAGTTCCCTGCAGCTCAACTGCTGTGGGAGGTCTGGGACAGCCTGCTGAGCTCGGGCTTCTCCTCGGGTGCGTGTGTATGGGGACTGGGGACGGGGATCCAGGGCTTGCGTAGGTGCCCCTCCCATCCTTCCCACCCCATCCCATAAGTGCACATTCTGACAATTCGGGGAGCAGAGGACATTTTACTGGTGAGATGCAAACTGCACGTGGAGGGTGCCCCTCCTGCCCCAGGCAGACTCTGAGAGGCTTAGCTAGAGGTCATGAAATCGTTGATGATGCAAATTCAGGCAGGAAGCCGAATCCAGCCCCGTGGAGGGAACAGAGAAAACCTCTGCAGAAGCCATGAGGAGCCCAGGTGGACGCACAGGCCAGGGCAAGCCCAGCGCCGCCCCAGGGAATGGGGCTACTGCCGCCACTCAGTAACCCTGCCTCTCACGGACCCCACCAGCCCACCTGCTCTGTCCTGCAGCACCTGGCCGGTCACAGGCACACGGAGGCTTGAATAGGAAACTCCAGGTGCCTAACCGGACTCACAGACCTTGCCAGCAGCTGTAACCCGGAGGACAGACTGCTACTGGGGCTGGACAAGAATAGCCAGTCTGCCTCCAGCGAGAAGTCAGGAGGCCTATAGCCCCTGGAGCTACAGCGGTGGTTATTCTGAGACTCCTCAGAGGCTGACAGCGGGGTCAAGGTTCTGTGCTCTGACCTTGGTGGGTTCTTGTGGACTGGCTGAGGGTACCCCAGGCCAGCCATGGGGGGTGGGGTACACTTTGTGCCAAACTCAGCCCATCTTTGCTAGCATCCTCGCGGGAAAGCAGGGCCACGGTGGGGAGGGACAGGCTTATGCTGTGATGATGGCTGAGCCTGGCACGTCCTTTCCCTTCTCTGCACGCAACTTAATTCCGTTCAACTCTGCCACGTGGCTCAAATTCTCTGAGGCCCTCAGTTTTAACATCTTAAAGTGGAGCTTAAATGAAAATGTACGGAAGACTTGCACAGGCTCTGCACTTAGTAAATATTCAAAAAATGTTGCTGTTCGTTCCCCCACCCAGTGACAGTGTCTGGACTCTAGAGAGAGGGGGGTGCCAGCCAGTCCCAGCAGGGTCGCTGTTCTCCCAACTTTCCAGAAGAGTGGACAGAGCACAGCGGGCAGGGGTGGGCTCATCAGAAACCTCTGGATCCCACTGCGTGAGGTTGCATCTGGGCACTTAGTGCTAGCCTGTGGCCAGTCCTGCCCCGGGCCCTACACCCTGAGCCCCCTGCACTCTGCAGTGAAGCACCGAAGCCCAGCTGCAGTCCGCGCTGTGTCCAAAGGCCTCGCAAGGGCATCTGCCTTCATGGAGACTGCGTTGTGGCTCTGGGGTCTCCCTTCCACCTCTGAACACCCAAGCAGCATGTGGCTGCTGGTCTCCATGGCATGCGGTCTGGATGAAACATACCCTCTGGTATTCAAGATATAAACAAGCAGTGAAGTATGTCTTATGTTTTTTTGGTTGTTTTTTGGTACGCGGGCCCCTCACTGTTGGGGCCTCTCCTGTTGCTGGAGCACAGGCTCCGGACGCGCAGGCTCAGCGGCCACGGCCCACGGGCCCAGCCGCTCCGCGGCACGTGGGATCTTCCCAGACCGGGGCACGAGCCCGTGTCCCCTGCATCGGCAGGCAGACTCTCAACCACTGCGCCACCAGGGAAGCCCAGTATGTCTTATTAAACGGTGGTCCCGCCTGAGCCCTTTGATAAGCAACCCTTCAGTAACAGCCGGGACAGGTCATGGACTCCCTGCCCAGGGCAGGCACGTTCTTGGCCACCGTACAGGCAGACGTCCATCCATTTTGAGAGGGAGGCAGCTCTAAGCCTGACTTAACCTTTGAAGCTGACGGCCTCGGAGAGCCTCTTCTTTATTTTGTCTCCAGTCTACAAATAGCACGTCCTGAATACAGTTCACCCCAGAAGCTGTCCGTGCCTCATTTTTGCCCCCAGACTCCAAACGCTGCTATGCGCTGCTGGGAGCAGCGGCAGCTCCCATCCCCCCAGGCCCAGCCCTGGGAGGAGAGACTATGCTGCTTGGGTTTCATTTGCCATCACACAACCCCAGACTCTGGAATGAACGAGATTCCCTGGGATCCATCTTTAATGTCAACTCACCAGCACGTGTCACGTTAAGCCCCTGAAAATCCTTCCGGAAGATGGCCAAGGGATTTAGGCATGGAGCACACGAGGCTAGGAGGATAACACGGATCTGTGTACAGCTGGCACAGCCCAGCGGGAAGGGGCTCCGGGGCACTATCTGAGCAGATTATAACATTCGGGCAGAAACGGTGGCTTAGTGATTTCTGGTCAGGAAGGGGCAAGGGAACAGCGTTAGCTGGCCCGGAGTACTGCTCTCTGACAACAACCGCATCCTGTTCATCTCCAGAGATGTCTGGATGTCTAATGGAAGCAAGTCCAACTTTGCTGCGGAGCCTAGAACCATGTGGGGGCTGCTGATGGCTGGGGCCCCTGTGGGATGGAGGATGGAGCACGGGGGCAAAGACGAGCATCCTCCGGAGAGATGCAGCTCCTCTGTGCCTCTGGATGCCCTACGGCGTCAGTCACACAAGGGGCGGGCTGTGAGAGAACCCCGACTTGCAAATGACTATTTCATAGCCAATGCAGTGAAATCCAATTGACAGCCCCCTTGGCTAAACGTGGAGCATAGACAGGTCCCGGCGGCTACCGCGGAGCGAGGGAAAGCTCCCTGTGAAATTTACCGTTTCTGAAAGGATCACAGCGTCAGATTGCTGCAGGGGAATGTCGGTGGGTTTAAATTCTTTATCAAATATCTCTTGATGTTTGCTGTTCCTTTTTTCCTTCTTCTTGTCCTTCCTCTCTTTATCTGGGTCGTCCTTGTCGAGCTTGTCCTGGGACCGGGAGTGCATTTTCTTCGGCAGGAGGGGTTCCAGAGCAAACCTAAAGGAAATGGTTCTTTAAATCAATGACGTCTTACTAGGACAGCCACTGCTTTGCGCCCTGCAGCTCCATGTAAAGTCACTCAAAATGAATCAGGTGCTCCCTGGGAAATGCCCAATTTTACAAGGAAAGAAAGGATTTTAAAAGGAAGGTCAAGGGAGACCTAAGATACATATTGCCGACTGCAATGGTTATAGTTCTGAATCTCGATAAAAACAAATTGGAAAAAAAAATAGAACACTTACAGGATGATGAGGGAAATGTAAAGTCTTACTGGATATGGGATGATTATATTCAGGGATTATTGTTGATTTACGACGGGAGGATGGTATTTGGGGTCTATTTCAAAAGGGAAGCCCTCACCTTTGAGAGAGTCATACTGAAATAGTCACGAACACAATGAGGGGAAACAGGCAGATGCTAATGCAAAGAAATGTCTGTATCGGTACACAGGTAGCTTGCATTTGACAGCCCTTTGATGGCTCAGTGAGAAACAAGCCAATTCCAGCTTGCAACGATGTGGAGATGCCCTCAGTGTTTTAGCCAAGAACTGAGCTTGAGACGGAGATTCTGGGTCTCAGCTCTGCCACCTTCTGGTGAGTCTCCACAACCTCTAAGCACCATGGGCTGGATGTCCCCCTTCACAAAATGAAATGGAATGAAAATAGTATTTAAGAAGAGATATGATCTCTTAAAAGAAGCTATAGTCATGCAGTCATATAGGAGAAATAGCCTATATCGTGATTTCTGATAAATGTGTTTTTGAAACTGTGGTCTACCCGTCATTCCCACATGGTTAAGAGAAGCAAAGCGGTCAGCTGAGAGGGTTCACGGAAGCTCCCCGCCCTTGAGCTGCCCAATGTCAGGCAGCCCCTGAGCCCTGTGGGAGGGCAAATCCCACCCCCGTCATGCGGGCTGTCAGGATAAGGGGCCAGGTCCCGAGCCTGCCCCTGGGAGCCCCCAGTTCTCACTGAGACCTTGCAAGCCTGACTTCCTGGGACACCTGGAGACTGAAGTGTCTTCTTCAAGGGGACACTGATTGTAAGAGAAGGAAATCTAGAAAGCCTGTCACATTGCCATCCTAGCTGTGGTTTCCTTCAAACTTATTTGTGAACGGGACATTGAGAACAAAACCACTGTTCTGAATAAGACCATTCCAGCACCTTGGCTCCCCGACATGGGAGAGGTAACATGGAAGTCAACACTTATTAGATGGATCATTCACAAAACCGCATTTCAAATCCATAGAAGACGCTGACTGCTGAGAGCAAGAATCACATCTGCTACGTTTTGTAAAAAAAAAAAAAAAAAAGAAAAACCTGGATGGTCAGCAGGATTTGAACAGTAATGGTATTGAATGTAGGCATTGATTATCAATAGCTGCTAACACCACTGCGAGGGAGAGAGACACGAATGTCCTTCTGAATGGAAGAACCAATTGAAGTCATCCTGTCCCCAACTCATGCCTGAATGTGCACAAGCCTCTAGATGTGACCACTAATCTGCAGGAAATATGAAAGACAGAGCTACACAGTCAATAAGCAAAATCCAGATGACACCAGAAGCAACCTGGATTTTTCAACAAATAAATTACAGGAAAAAGAAATGAAAGGAAAAAAGCAGAAGGGGAAATCTATTGATTAAAAGAGAACTAAAGAGATACAGCAGCCAGCTGCAAAGTGGGGCTCTTATTTGGATCAGTTTCAAACAAACTAAAAAGAAAAAAAAAAAAGCCATTTTTGCCCCAATTGGAAATTAAAACCAATATTTGATGATAGTATGGAATTACTGTTCACTTTTTACACGTGCTGAAGGTAGTATGATTGTGTTTTTGGTAAATTCTTACCTTTTAGAAATTCACACTGAAATGTTTATGGATGAAATGATATGATGCCTGAGATTTGCTTCGGAATAATATGGAACAGGGAGAGTGTGGGCTAGGAGTTGATCATTGCCGAGGCTGGCTCATGGCTGGTACAGGGCCTCATTATACTATTTTGTCTCCTTTGTATATGTCTGAAATTTTTGCATGATAAAGACTTGAAAATGATTAATGAAATACACCAGTGTTGACTTTGATTATTACGGCATTTCTGGGCATCTGGACTTTTCCAGTTGAATACACGGTAACTATTAAATCAACATCCATTAGGGGTTAAATATTATATCTCTTCTACTATGAACAAAAATTTAAAAATCTTCATGATTTTTTTCTAGGTTTGGCAGAACTTGGGATAATTAATGTAGGGGAACAAAGGATTAGTGCACATCTTAAAGCTCCGGGGAGAACCTGTGCTGTGAAATCCAGACAAATATACAAGGAACCAAGAGAAAGGCTGAGCTTTAAATTTTTCACATTATGAGAACCAACTGCCGACGGGACGAACTTTATTCTGCACATAACTGGTGCCACTTGAGACCAAAGCCTCATTTTCTCCACATCCGTTAGGTAGTGAAGGGTGCTAACCCCGAGAATGAACAAAAATCTGGACTCTAGTAAAGATGCCTTCTAGTTCAAGGTTAAACAAATACGGCTCCAGGGGTGGAGACAACGATTCCCACTCATGTATTCACATGTGCAGGACAGTACTCTTCCATCTAAAACCTCTAGATCACTTTCTGCCCACACCCCTACGTTCCCGGAAATATAAAAACCTTTTCATAACTAGCCTGGGGATTTACCTGGGGAGAAGTTGAATTAAGTTTCTTTAGCAATCTTGCTCTCAGTGACAAGCACACTTGATTTAAACACCTCTAAATTGAGGTTTCCCATATGGACTTGGCCTCAGAAGTAACAGACACTGATAAAACTTACTGTTAGGAAAAAAACGTGGGAACAGTTTGCCATCCTTCATTGGGTACATTGGTCGTCGGCAACAAAGGGCACTTGGGTTGGAGCTGTCCCTTGGGGAGCTCTGGAAGTTTGTGTCTGCGTGTCGCAGGGGTCAGGAGCCCGTGGGTTTGATAGGATGGGATGATGGATTGTAAACCAAATGGGCTTGGACAAACACACAACTGTGCAAACTCGACAGCAAAACAATTAGAAGTTCTTCCCTACTGTTTAAATTGCATGTGACATTTTTTCTTTCTGTATAATCAGAACAAACTTTTCATATATGCTAGTCACAAAACACACAAAAATGTCAATAACGAGGTCCTCTTTGCAGGAGACACAGTGGGAGCTCAATGAAATGTTTTACCCATCCGTTCCGTTTCTTGATCCCTTCTTAGTTGCTTTGTGCCATCCGGTGCTCAAGAGCAAAACTGGGCCTCCAAAGAGATCTTGTAGAAAGAAGGTGGCCCTGCCAGCTCTCAAGGGAACCTGCCTGTGTGTGACAGTCCTGCCCTAGCGTGACACCTTGGAAGTGAGCAAGAGATGAAAAGTACAAGCACGCAGCTGGCAAGGAATGCATCACACTGCTTCCGGAACTTGCTGAAAAGGACTGAACACTCACCTGGAGGTTTTACAATTTGATGGAAACCTCATCCAAAGTGGTACCCAAAGCGAGAAATATTTTCTCAAAAATTCACAAGACTCTACAAGTCTTAGTGGCACCATGATTGTAAAGGTCTTGGATGGTCTCCATTTCAAAGAGAATTTTGATTTTTAAAAATCCTCTCAGGTGTGATGAAACAAACCCAGGGCCCTGGGTGGCTCCTTGAAGCCCCTCCCAACCCTCCCCGGCTGCTGAGCCAGACTCACCCATCGGAGCCCGGCCTGGAAGGGGTGCTGTCTGATGACAGGGATGACACAGAGGCCACAGACAGAGGCCGGGACGAGGAAGGCATTGTGAAGGATCGGACCATGGACCGGGGACGGCTGCCTCTTCTGTCGTCCAGACTTGAGGGCTGGGTTGGGCAGAAGGGAGAGAAACAGAGAGAGAGAGAGAGAGAGAGAGAGAGAGAGAGAGACTTGTTTGATGCTGTGGCAAAAGGCGCCCAGCCTGGCACGGGCAGTCACCTCGGACCAGGTGGTCTTAGCTGCCCGGAATCTAGATCAAAACTGTCCACACTTTCATGAACAGTGCATGTGCTTGTTCAAAGTTGAAGACAAAAACGATGATTATTTGGAGGCGTTTTGAAATCTGATTTGATATTGTGAAAAATACCAGGAAGAACTTTGTTTTTTTTTTTTTAATTTAAAAAGCAGTTTTCTCTACCAAGACCACAAGGCATCAACTTGTTCCAGAGTCACAGTACAATGTACTGATCAGAAAATTTAACTTGTAGAAAAATATCTAGAATGTGAAAGAATTTTACAAGATCTTTAGATGAACTTTGTATCTCTGCATGGTTGACAAACCAAGAAGATCACTAAAATATATGGATGCGTAATGACTGAACTTCGCTAGACTAAAATAAGATGCACCTGCTGCTTAATTAAAGGTGGATTTCCTCCCCTGCCAGTGACCGGTACAATGGATTAGATGGATCCATGGCTGGCGTTGCTAAAACTCCTCCTCACCAGAAAGTGGACCAGCGATGCATTCTAGAGAAGAACGGTCTCTGGATAGAGTTTTCCATCGTCTCTTTGTCATGTCATACTATTGTACCTTAACAAAATAAGTGTCACTGAAATATAGCACATGTCAACAACTAATTAGCTACAAAATGCTAGTGTATCTGCACCCCGAGCCAGATGTTGGCACATCCGGGATGGCAGCTGCAGCAGAAGCTCCTTTCTTTAACCTGAGGATGTGGAAACCAAATTCCTGTAGGGCATTCCCTCTCTGTGTGGCTTCAACCTCCCTAAAGCCCATCCCCGCTCCACCAAAGCTGGTGTTTCATTCAGCCCATCACCTGCCCGGGAAGACCTGCCCGGGACCACGGGTGATTACAGATTGTACAACACCATTGAAAAGATGGTCTGTTTCTTAAATATTTGTTTTGCCCATGAAATACTATTTGATCTGTACACTATCTCTTCAATAGTAAAAGGTTCAACAGACTTGTGGTTGCCAAGGGGAAAAGGAGGGATGGATTGTGAGTCTGTGATTAGCAGATGCAATCTATTACATACAGAATGGATAAACAACACGGTCCTACTGTATAGCACAGGGAACTATATTCAATATCCTGTGATAAACTATAATGGAAAAGAATATGAAAAAGAATGTATTTATATATATATATATGTATGACTGAATCATCTCGCTGCACAGCAGAAATTAAGACAATGTTGTAAATCAACTATACTTCGATAAAATAAAATTTTAAAAAATAGTAAAAGGTTCAAAATTGCTAAAGAACAGTGTAAAGCAGAAGCTGGTAACTATTTTCTGCAAAGGGTCAGATAATAAGTATTTTAGGCTTGCGGGCCATAAGGTCTCTGTCCCAAGCACGAAGAGAGTCATAAACAGTACAGAAATAAGTGAGCACAGCTGTGTTCCAATAAAACTTTATTTACAAGGACAGATGTCAGGCCATAGATTACTGATCACTGGCTCAATATGCAGCTGAAATCTGCCAGCACAGAGGGTCTGGTCCGTCTTGGGTTTAGCACCAATGATGGTGCCATGGCCCATCTCCAGGGAGACAGCCATTGTCATTAATTGGCTTTTATAAGGAAAACTGAAAAGGAAGTGGTTACTTGCAGATTAACCCAAATTGTAAAAATGCTTCTAGAAAGTCAGTCTACGACAAAGTGAGAGCGGCATGGACATATAAACACTACCAAATGTAAAATAGACAGCTAGTGGGAAGCAGCCGCATAGCACAGGGAGATCAGCTCGGTGCTTTGTGACCACCTAGAGGGGTGGGATGGGGAGCGGGGAGGGAGGGAGATGCAAGAGGGAAGAGATATGGGAACATATGTATACGTATAGCTGATTCACTTTGTTATGAAGCAGAAACTAATACACCATTGTAAAGCAATTATACCCCAATAAAGATGTTAAAAAAAAGGTTATATTCCATTTATAGTTATTATAACATACTGGCTATATTGCCTGTGCTGTACAATATATCTTTGTAGCTTATTTTATACCTAATAGTTTGTACTTCTTACTGCCTTACCCCTATAGTGTCCCTCCCCTCTCCCTCTCCCCACTGGTAACCACTAGCTTGTTCTCTGTACCTGTAAGTCTGCTTCTTTTCTGTTATATTCATTAGTTTGTTGTATTTTTTAGATTTCACATATACGTGATATCATACAGTGTTTACCTTTCTCTGACTTATTTCCCTGAGCATAATACCCTCCAAGTCCACCCATTTTGCTGCAAATTGGTAACACTTTATTCTTTTTTTACGTCTGAGTGGTAGTCATATATATATATATATATATATATATATATATATATATATATATACACACACACACACACACACACACACACACACACACATATATATCTCATATCTTCTTAGGTTGCTTCCACATCTTGGCAAGTGTAAATGATGCTGCTATGAACACTGGGGTGTATGTATCTTTTTGAATTACTGTTTTTGGTTTTTCCAGATATATACCCATGAGTGGGATTGCTGGGTCATAGGGTAGTTCTACTTTTAGTTTTTTGAGAAAGCTCCATACTGTTTTCCACACTGGCTGCACCAATTTACATTCCCAGAAACAGTGTGCACAAGGCTTCCCTTTTCTCCACACCCTCACCAACATTTGTCATTTGTGTTCGTTGTGATGACAGCCGTTCTGACAGGTGTGAGGTGAGATCTCACTGTGGTTTTGATTTGCATTTCCCTGATGATTAGTGATGTTGAGCATCTTTTTATGTGCCTCTTGGCCATCGGCGTGTCCTCTTTGGAAAAATGTCTACTGAGGTCCTCTGGCCGTTTTTTAACCGCGTGGTTTGTTTTTATGATGTTGAGTCGCATAGGCTGTTTATATATGTTGGATATTAAGCCCTTGGCAGTCCTACCATTTGCAGATACTTTCTCCCATTCAGTAGCTTCCCTTTCTTCAACACGTTCAGACGGCAGCCCAAAGCCAGAAGCGCTCCTCTCATCCAGCCTCGCGGCTGAGCCCTGGGAGCATGTTCCGGGTCCCCCTGTTCCTGACCCTGCCAAGGAAGAGTCCTGCCTGCTACTCCTAGGTGCGTCCTGACCACCCCATCTGCTACCCCTGGTACCACCGTGCCCAGCTCGGCTACTGCTCCTCTCTCTGGCATCTCTGTGGGACTCTGACCCTCTCGATGCTCTGAGTAAGACCTGTTCACGGCCGCTGCCTTTCAAAACCCAGGCTCTCCCCTGCCAATTCTTCCACAGCAGCAGCTTCTGAGGGCGGCTCAGAGGTGGGGATCAGCGTACCGGAAGCTGGGGACTGTCTTTCTGAGGACCCACCTGCTCAAACCACCTCCTGACCCGCGAGGGGCTGCCTTCACGCTTCTCCCCGGCGACCTCCTCAGCTTGACTTCAACCCCGTCCTCTCTGGATCCAGGTGGCGGGCAGAGGAGAAGATAGGCATCAACCCTGTGCTCGGGTGATTTTTCTGGCTTGGCAGATGCTGCCTCCGTTGTCCATCATCTTCTGGGCACGTGGAGACGCAGCCTTCCGGGAAACGCAGCTCTGCTTACGGTGGAGAAGAAACACGAGCCATCTGACATCCGGGTGCCGTGAGACCCCATTCCTAAGAGCGCCCGGCATGGCCGTTTCCATTTCTCTGATGAAATGATCTTCATGGCAGCCAGCGTTGAGGGAGGGGGTGCGCAGGAGGGAGCCGGCCAGGGACCAGGAGGTGCAAGTGGCCACAGGCTGACCTCATCCAGCTCGTGGGAAGGCCCAGGAAGCAGCCGTGAGCATCCAACCCCCAACCACAGAGGGCTGGCGATTTGCCCTGAGAGGCAACCTTGAGTCTTGGTTGGGATGCACAAGCACGGATTGGGAAGAACAAAGGAAGGGGCACGGCAGGAGCCGGCTCTGGCAGAGGAGGGACAGAAGCCAGTCTTGGTCCCACATCAGCAGGGCAGCCACTGCGTGTGGCCCTGGGTCCTCCCGGGCCATTCACCTCCTAATTCCTTCCTGACCAAGCAGAGCCTCTAGAAACTGAGGATCCAGGGCTTTTGTTCTTTCATCTGAAGCAGTTGGTCTCTCCCAGCCCTGATGGGGTAGCTCCAGCACTAGGACACTTTGAGAGAGGGGACGTCTCTGTCCCTGCAGCGGGGCGGGCAGTGAGGGGGAGGTTAGAATTAGGCGGGAATGTTGGCTCTGGCATGGACTAGGTGACCTGGCATAAAACATGGAACTGCTCTGGGTCTCAGCTTCCTCCTGAGCATGTAGGGAATAATCATGCCACCTTGAGAGGCCGGCGAGGATGAGCTGAAATGACGCAGGTGACGTGCGTAGGGCGGGCCACGCTCTGAACCACAGCCTCCGTTGCCTTTGCCGTTGTTACCACGGCCTGAAGCACAAGACTCACTCCAGCCCTCTCCCCAGGAGCTGGGGACCAGTGCTGAACGTGGCTGGTGCTCGTGGCCTCTTCTCTGGGGACCCTGGGTCTGCACTCCTCACTATCTAAGTATACGGAGGAGGCTAGGCTCCTGTGCTTTCATCCAGGGAGCAGTGGCACCTTAGAGCCCAGTACTGTCTGAATGAAGGCCAAAGATGAGCGGGCCGGGGATGTCCCATGGAGCCGCCGGTGGATTAGGAGTCAGAGGGTGTCCAAGTCTTCCCTTTCTAGGGCTTAGGCTGACCCAGAAAAATTGACAAAATGGTTTATGTCCTTTCTATGGGGTTTTTATTTTTATTTTTTGGCTGCGTTGGGTCTTCGTTGCGGTGTGCGGGCTTTCTCTAGTTGTGGCGAGCGGGGACTGCTCTTCGTTGTGGTGCGTGGGCTTCTCACTGTGGTGGCTTCTCTTGCTGCAGAGCACGGGCTCTAGGCGCCCAGGCTTCAGTAGTTGTGGCACGCGGACTCAGCAGTTGTGGTTCGCGGGCTCTAGAGTGCAGGCTCAGTAGCTGTGGTGCACGGGCTTAGCTGCTCCGCGGCACGTGGGATCTTCCCGGACCAGGGCTCGAACCCGTGTCCCCCGCATAGGCAGGCGGATTCCCAACCACTGCACCACCAGGGAAGCCCTGGGGTTTTTAACTTTTAAATCCATCTTTTTTTAAAACAGGATGATACTGTATTGCTTTTGAAAGTATTCTGAGAGGCTTGAAAGTTCTCCAAGTAGGTAAGACGGGAAAGCCTCATTCCAGACGGCATTTTATCACATTTTTTCAGAGAATGAGAGGGTATCTGCCTGACCTTTTGTCTGCTCCAGGGAGGCTGGCCGCAGAGCCTGCCTTTGGGGTCCCAGGATGGAGGTGGACTCAGGGAGGCAGCTCCAGGGGACAAAGCATCCACGGGTGGAAAATGCATCCTTAATTCTGTCCCCAACTTCATTCCCAATAAGCCTGGTCAACCCCTGGCTGTGGGAGGGGGCGGGGTGGAGATGCCTTGGCTGCCCCCGCCTCGGGGTGGGACCTTGGTGGAGAAGATGCCGTCTCAGGCTGCGGTGCAAGTGGCTCATCACCGGCCGAGGACGCCCCACTGCCTACACAACCGCCCTGCCTTCCTTCCCTCCTCCCCCGTGTGTAAGCACAAGCCGGCAGAGAACTCATGAACCACAGCAGAGAAAGGGATATGAAGGACGTCTGGCGAGCCAGACAGATTTCTGTCCTCCTGAAATATACATGAAATGATTGGTCAAGAGGAAGATTTTCACTGAGTAAGAAAACCTGGAGATTTCACAAGTGTTTACTTCTCAGAAAGAATTAAAAGTGGCATCAGACTTTGAAAGGTGTACCGTGATGTACTTTGAAACTCTTCTGGCCACTTGACGCTGATTGTAATGAGTCACAAGCTCCAGAGGGATAAGACACAGCTCGAGGATTCTGACTTGCAATGAAGGCTCCTCCAGCGTGGTCCTGATTTCTAAGCCTGCTCACCTGTAGCAGTTCCTGCTGGGCTGACGGTCCCAGATTCCCGCCTGCTGAGTCTTCAGACCATAGCCCGGCGGTTGTGTTACTCTTGGCTTGGTCAGGGTCATGCTCTGCTGTGGTCAAGGCCAAAGACACTTCATTTGATGAGCACCAGGGTCCTGGGTTTGGAGGCTCTGGGGCCCAGGCATGGCCGGCAGGGCTGGGGAGGGTGGGAGAGCATAGAGCATAACCCCTCTCAGGGGTGGTCTGGCTCTCCTACATGTCTCCAACCACAAGGGCAACAGAAGAAGAGCTCTGCCACTGACTCGTGTAAGCTCGGGCTAGTGAACCTTCCCATCTATAAAATGGGGATGCACACAGTGTCTCCTTCCTCGTGTTGCAGGAACCTAAAAAGTTCATAATTGTTAAAAACCTTGGAAAGGCCCCTGACACATGGTAAGCACTAAATTAGTGTTTGCTAAGCGAGATAAATGGGTGAACAAAAAGAAACCAGCTCAACAGGGAACGGCAGAGAACTTTAGAGAACGGCAGAAAGATGGAGCTGGGTCAGAAAAGAAACCAAAATGGCGCACCTGGTTGGACACCTGGTAGAGCGTCTTGTGTGAGGAGAGGTGGAGTAACTCCTGCAGCCTGCCTTCCCTTTGCAGGATAACAGAAGACCTGCTCGCATACACCCCCTCCACGCCAGCAGGCATGGGATTCCAGTAGACCAGAAGAGGTCTCGCTGTCTGTTTTTGCGACACTGATGCTCACCCCCGAACAGTGGAGAAAGGGGGCCTCAAGCCATCTGCTAGGCCAGACGTTTCCCGAGTCCACAAGCAGTCAAGGCTAGGACTCACCAAGGCTCCCAGAGACCCTGAGTAAGGGTGGAAGTGATGCTCTGAACTGCGCCACAGGGGTGCTCTGATGTGAGGTGTCTGGCCCTGCCCCTGGAGCTGCTAAGGCATGGCTCATGGAGACTGCCTCAAGCCCACCGTAAGACTTAAGCTGTCAGGTATTTTGCATCCATAAAAATGCCTAGCCACTTTTTTACCATGCCCCTGATCTCAGCCCTGGCTAGGAGACCTTCCACCAACTCTTAGCAAAAGCCCAGGTCTGATCTCCCTGTGCTATGTGGCTGCTTCCCACTAGCTATCTATGTTACATTTGGTAGTGTATATGTGTCCATGCCACTCTCACTTCGTCCCAGCTTAAAGTAATTATGCTCCAATAAGGATGTTAAAAAAAAAAAAAAAGCTCAGGTCTGTCCTTCAGTCCGGAACATGCTGGCATTCCAGGCTCTGGGGGGCTGGTCACCTTCCCAGCTCCTCCTTACAACCTGTCTTCTGCCCAAGGCATGGCTGTGTCTGTGCCGGCCCCTGGCCTCTGCCATTCAAATCCCTACCTTCAGCCTTTGCTAAGTGAGTCCTCCCTCCAGCCAGCGTCCCGCCCGCCTCCTGCAACTTACCCTTGGCCTAGATCAGGGACCCCTTCCTCCAACAGGTAACAGCTTCAGACCTCAGCAGTCCACTGCTCCCCTCAGTGACTCTGACCTTGGCCTGGGCACAGGCTCTACCTCGGCTTTGGGACATCATGAGTGCTGTTTCCCTGTGTGTTATTTAACCCTTCGTGCGTGTCGTGTTACTGGAGGTGCGGTCTCTGTGAACCAGCCTGAGTCGCACGGATCTATGAGATCTTTCTGTTGCTCCACAACATGATGGGTAGCTTGTGTTCACAGCCATAAGCGGGGTATTTGGTGATCAAGCAAATTCATGAACGCTTACACACCCTGACATTTCCAGTTAGCGAAAGGTGGTGGCTAGTTTGCTGGCACATGAAATGATGAAGGGGCGGAGGTTCCTTATCTCACTTCCTAAGCAGGCGTCACGTACACAACTCAAGTACTCGGCCCTGTGAGCCTGCCACAGTCGGACAGTGTGACACAGAGACACGCTCCCTCCCCTCTGCCGCGCCAGCCACTTACCATGGTCCGGACTCCGTACTGTTTCTCCACTTTTTCCTTTAACTGTTTGAAACAGGCTTCCATTCTCTCATGAAATGGCCGTAGTGCTTCTGTGACTTTGTCTCCATGAATCCTGATCCCTTCGGCCAAAAATGGAATCTGAAAGACATACAGGTTGACGTTCCTTATTTCTTGCTTAGTGGTCTAGGGAGAGAAACGCACACCAGGCAGAAAGTGGCAACGTGCAAAATACATCTGCTTTGGTTTCCCAGTCAAACCGGCTGATTAAATTCATCATCAGGCAGGTTACTCCCCCAGACCAAATTGTGTAAATGACAAGCATTTGTGTTTTAAGCCGGACACGTCTAGTGCGGATGCAGCACACGGCTGCTCCGTTACTTTGCCTGACTCACACTTGACCATCAACCCCAGAATAGACTTCTCCGTGCTTTCCACTTGAATTTGGGAAGGTCTGCGTTTTGGATTTATTTAGCTATGACTTGATCTGTTAGCAAAGGGCCAAGTCACAGTACAAAGATTTTTTTCGCTAAGAATATTGCCTCTACAGGCAATTGAGAACCCTACTCCAAAATGTAAAAACCTAATAATCTATCTATATAGTCCTGAAGGATGATCTATATAGTCCTGAAGGATGTTCTTATTTGGAAAGGAAAACCAAATTTATTCTTCCTTAAAACTAAAAAGAATCATGTCTCTGCCAACACTGCTGTCACAAATATCCATGCCAAGACTTCACATCAGAGTGTGGAGATATAGCTGACCTTTAAAAGCGTTGTAGAGACATTTTTATTCCCCAGCCCCAGAGACCCTCCGGAGTCACAGCCGTTGGGGGTGGGTGTGAGAAAGCCTCCTTTCTTCCCCTGGCTTCTGCCTCCTCTGAGGCTCAGACTGGGAGGTAGATGCTCTTCAATGCAATCAAGCTAAGAGGCTTCCTCTTAATAATTTACAATTAAATCAAAATACTGATTAAAAACAGATTTTCTTAATATGACAGAACACCAATCTAAATGAGCAGATTTATTAGTAAGAAGGATAATAAGTACACAATTGAATTTCATGTGAACGAATTCAAGAAATCTTATCAAGATGAATCAAGGCATAAAATGTATTTGGTTGCCATTTATAGCACGCAGCTGGTGCCTCTTGTGGTGCTCCAGGAAAGGACAGAATAAGTGAGCGCTCCCCTGTGTTTACACCACCCAGCCTGCTCTCGAGCTGCCCTGGCACAAAGTGTGTTTGGCTGACAGTTGGGCTTATACCCAAGGTACACGCCAGGCATCCCTTTCCGAACAGCTATCACCAACAGGACAGCGTGCAGCTCAGGTTTCAAACTAGTGGGACGTTTTACTAGTCCATACGAATTACTCTTGCAGGTGACAGCCTCCAGGGGCTAGCTGCGGTTTGTTCAGGTTCAACAGAAGAAAATGCTCACAGAAATCCTTTTGCTTCCTGGGGGTCGGCAAAGGCAGGCTGCAGACAACTTTTGGTGGGATGGTAAATGTGTCGTGGCGCTCTGGGCGTGAAGACAAACGTCGGGGTGCTGTCTCAAGGTTAAAGCACAGCCACTCTAGATCCTGAAAGCATCTTGTAAAATGGCCCTCTCTCAAATGTATAAAAGTGTGGTCCAATCATTTCTGCTTTTTTTGTTGTTGTTGGTTTGATAAAACTCTTAATTGGCCAGATTCTTGACATCAAAGAAGCTACTTGCTGGACTAAAGTTAAGACCCTTTGGTTCAGGTCTTGGGACTGAATGAACGGTGATCTGGCAGGTGAAATTTATGGGGTATGAAATGTATCCCCTCAACAGGTCCCTGACATTGGTCAGATATAACCTTCTAAAAGAAGGGTGGGATCTGGCCCTTGTTCAATGTCTGCTCGGGGCTGAACTTAAGCTATGAATAAAAAGATGCTCTGTGCAAACACTCCAACATATGAGGTGCTTAGTACACAAACAGAAGCCATGGAGTGAGGCCTGGAATGGTCTTTGGATTCCAACCAAGCTGAGCATGAAAATCTCTCAGGCAGATTCCTGAATCCCACCCCCAGAGCCCTGATTTGGTCTAGAGTGGATCCCAGGAAGCTGCACATCTAAAGAGTTTCCCAGAGCCCAGAGAGGAGGGAGGACTTCCCCAAAGTCACACCTCGAGTTGTTCAAAGAGAGCATGCAGCCTGCTCTCAAAAGATACCCTTCTAAATGGCGGTGCTGTATTTGAGGTCTGCTCCTGTGTGTCTCCTACATGGATTCACGGCCTGCTGGCGGCAAGGAACATTTGGAAGCACTGCTAAGTGTTCCAGAAGCATCACCACTGGCGACATCGGTACGACTGTCATCGGCTGGGGATGATGAATGGGTTTGGTCTTTCATCTCTGTGCATTTCAAAAGAGAAATGTGGGGCTTCCCTGGTGGAGCCGTGGTTAAGAATCCGCCTGCCAATGCAGGGGACACGGGTTCGAGCCCTGGTCCGGGAAGATCCCACATGCCGCGAAGCAACTGAGCCCGTGCGCCGCAACTACTGAGCCCGCGTGCCACAACTACCGGAACCCGTGTTCTGCAATTACTGAAGCCCACGTGCCTAGAGCCCGTGCTCTGCAACAAGAGACGCCACCGCGATGAGAAGCCCGGGCACCGCAACTAAGAGTAGCCCCCGCTTGCCACAACTAGAGAAAGCCCATGTGCAGCAACAAAGACCCAACATAGCTAAAAATAATAAATAAAATAAATTTAAAAAAAAGAGGAATATGCACGCACCACAGTGGTTTCATATGAGTCTATATGGATTCATCTTTGGACACACAGCAGGAATGCCCCACAAG